AAAAAAAAAAAAGGTCAAAATCCCCAAAATTAGGGACATTTGAAAAAAATAAGTGCATTTTTTTTTTACAGTGACATTTTGAAAGAAAAGTAACATTTTCAAAAAAAAGTCTAATTTACAAAAACAAATTCTAAGAAAAAAAGAATATTTAGAAGAAAAAAAGTCAAATTCTGATTAAAAAAAGTCAAATTTAAGATGCATTGTGGGACATGTAGTTTACGGGCAACGTGCTTCTGTAAATCGGCATGTAACCGTATTATAAACGTATTATTCTTTGCAAGCTCTTTTGGGGCCACATACAATGAAGTCACAGGCCTTGAGTTTGACACCCCAGATATACTGTAGAGGAACACTGTTTATGCTTTTCCGACAGAAATTGGAGTCGTCTCCTTAAGATTTAGTCAAGTTGCATCCGACCAAACCTGTAAGAAACTCAAAATGACTCGGTGACTCATTATTGAGGATAGGTCTTTTCGCTGTTCCTGTGAACTTTGAGGCTTGTTTTGTCACCCCCGCTCCACACAACACACATACACACACTCCCACACAAAAACCACCATGTTACTTGACAATCTGCTGTACATTGAAACACCACTTCAATGGAAATACCGCTGCTTTGTTTTGGCTTTATCTTAACCTATTTCCCACTCCCTGTATATCATGTCAACCCTTATTTAATTTGTTTCTCAAGGGGTCTGCTGGCTTGATCGCTTCGTTCTTAACTCATGGCGGACTGTTTACCACTTCTTCTTTTGTTTTAAAGGAAGTTAAGCTGAGGGTCCTGCAGTGCTGCACGCATGCATTGGTAAAATAAGGCCCTGGGAAATAAGAGCCTTAAGAAGCTTCCTACAGACCAGGGCTTTCTCACACTCACTGAATTCAGGGTGGGCCATGCACTGCTCAGATCCTGTGAGATACAGAATCAAATGAGAACAAACATTTAGCGCGAGGTGGAAACTTGGCCTGCATTTTTAGCTGTGTGATGTGTTGCATAGAGATGATTAAGGTATCTGTTTTGGGTGGGGTCTTGTCGATCATGCTCGAGTGTAAGGTTTGTATAAAGTGCTGATCATGATGCGGTCAAAACGTGACATTATGCGGTGCTCCTTGATGCTTTCTCAAGTCACAGTTAACGGTAACCTAAGAGAAAAAACAATATTTAGATCATTGGTTAATCTTTGTGGACAACGGCACGGTGATAACAATCAAGAAACAAACCTCACTGTGCTTTACTGACATGACATGTTTGAACAGCTTGCTCTTATTTCCATTTTGTAAAGATCAAAACATGAGGAAGTAGCCCTCGTTATCCTTTCCTCTTGTGTTTGTTCTCACTGGCTTCTGATGCTGCGATGAGAATGTTGATCTTGATGTGACCTTGAATTTTTGGAGTGTGGCGTTTTGTCAATTGGTCAGTTCCAAGCATCTAAAGGTGTTGAAATACGTAAGAAGTGTTACTAATTTGAACAGAGCTCAGTTCCTATTGTCCGAGTAATGTGAGATAAACTTAAGGTATACTGTTTGACCTGCCAGTTACTTTTTGTACACGCACTAGCAGAAACAAACTGTTCACACACATGGTTTATATGTATTTACTTTTCAGCTACAAGGGTCCTAGATGTGGCTTACTGTTACGACCCTGGTACGACATAATTTAAAGGATATGATCAAATGTTTTAAGTCTCTCTTTAAGTTATTGTGTCTTGACTTACTGTGAAGAAGTCCCTTTCCTATGCGAATCCGAATAAGTGATGAAGGAAACAAATCATATCAGGCTTGAAAGATATCGATATAATACCATAAATATATATTGTTTTTTGCAAATAAGAACTGTGGATAGTGTTCCCCATCTCTTACATTTGAAACATATTAGGAAGGGAGCTTTACATCAAGTATTATCAGGAGAAACATTTAGAGTAAAAGCTCTTTCAATGTGACAGTATTGTTTTAAACTATTAAAGCATTTATTTAAGCATTTTATTCCTCAGATGTTTTTGAATCTTTTTTTTATATATTTAAAGCTATTTTAATAAATATTTCAAGTTGTTTAATGTTTTCTATTTAGCTTGGTTGTGTATTTGTTCTGTTATTTTAAATTACTGAATGAAATGTGAAGTACATACATGTTTCATTTAACTATATCCTTTGTCTTTCCCCCCATATTTGCAAAGTAGACATTTGACAATCCCCCATAGGCTTTAAAGGCCTATTCTCCTGCGTGTTTAATGTTGTGAGGTAGCCTTGAAGGGAGCAACGGTTAAGCTGTGGTGGAAAAGCCTGGCCTGTTGAGCACCATCGGCTCATCTCCCTAACCACTGTGCTGCAGAGACAGCTGTAACATCAGATAGGAAAGATCGCCCTAGATATGCACACGCTGACACATACACACGCACACACACACACACACACACACACACACACACACACACACACACACACACTCAAACACACACGCATAGAGACGTAGGATACACACACCTTTAGCTGTTGACATGTGGCATTTGTGGGAAGAGAAGAGACAAAGATATGAAACCACAAATAGTACATTTAACTGACATTTAGTGAACCTATACATTCAGTAAGCTTCCTTTTTTTGCCAGACGTGCTATTGTTTTCAAATTCTCACCCCCTGTGACCTTCATCTGATGGTTAAACTGCAGTGGGTGCTACCCTCCACCAGGTGGCATTAGACTCATGAAGAATGCACATTTGAAACTACAGCATGTTAAATAGAAAATCCATGGCTTGAATTTGTCCAGTTTCTTTACTGAGGCACTTTATATACTGTATGTTCCGTAAGATCCGGTTTTTAAGGGCATATTAATTAAAATATGCTATTTAAAAAATGCAATGTTTCATACTAATCTGAAAGTACTGTACATCACAGATTAATGTAACACTTTAATTTCACTTTTTGAGTGTTTTTGACAGCCCACTGTTAATAGGGTCTGGGGCTCTTGCTTAAACAAACAACTGCTAGACTGAATCCAAGGGTTATTTACTCTTTATTGCACACATTTGATTCCTATTTAGATCATTTTTAGTAAGCGATTGTGGGCACATAGGCCAAAAAAAGCAGTGGGGGAGAGCAGTGGTTGTCATGCCTGCTCATTCTGAATGCATGGTGTCGTACATTCCTGTAAACCAATACTCCCAGATTACCATATTGTCACATCAGGCTTTCCGTGACACCGTTTAATGTTAGTTAGAAAGGTGAGTTAATCTTTAATGTTGGTTTGCTTCCAAAGACTAAACATTTCGTCGTTGTTATAGCTGCATAAAATAACCTAAACAGTTCAGTGATTTGTTCTGCTTTTTCTTCTCTTGTCTAGGCGCCCCTCCTCCACTCCGCTTCCCCTCGTTAGGTGAGGTGCACAGTGTGCGATACCTGAACCTTCACCTGGGAGCGAGATGAGGGCGGGGCCTGAAGCACACAGTCGAAGAGGGAGATGCGTGGAGCGGGTTTGTTTTTATGTAAACCAGCTGAATAATGGTTATGAATACAACCGTGTTACAGCGGTGGACAGTAGAGCTTCATGATTGATGGCTCTGCTTTGCCGCCTGGCTGCTAGTACTATACACTTCCCATGGATAGCACTAGCTAACAACGCAGGTAAGCGTGTGTTATTTAGAATCTGCTGCTTATGGTTCATTTCAACAACACTCCTAACAGCTTTACAAAAAAAGGATTTATAAATGAGAAAATATAATTTTAATGTCCTTTTTTGGGTTTTAATTGACAAATGTATTGCTTGAGAGATAAATGGTGTATCATCAATTACAGTTGATTTATCTCCACGTTAATCCTTTGCAGGTTTGATTCAGATGTTGGATGTGAGCAGCCGGGATTGCTCATCCAGCTTCCTGCAGATTTATCCAGAGGAGTTGTTACATCTTTGAGTATTTCATCATAAAGAAAACAAGCCTCGAGTTGCCTCGAGTGGTTAGTTTAGTTTGAGTGGTGAATCAGGGATGGGTAAGGTCTGTAAAGTTACAACTAGTACGGAAGTCTGATCTGGACAGCCATACTGATATGTTAGCCTTTTGTCTGTTGCATGTTAATTAGCATGGTAACAGTGTAATGAGTTACAAGGATTTTGACTAGAAGGACACAAGCGGCCCTATCACTCTGTTGTCTCCTTCATAACCTGAGTCTACAAGCGTCTCTTCTGCATCCTTTCCATGGAGGGATTTGAATCTGGTACGTTTCCTTTGATATCTTCCATTTCATATTTTTGTTACTCTCCACCTGCTGCTCACTGTTGCTTTATCTCACTGTTGACTTTGAATCATTAGAGGTACCATAGAGGTATCAGTGTTTTTTTTAATTCAAATTAGCATGGTTATATTTAGGTAAGCAGCCTGCATGTGATCTTTTATCTCAATTGAAATCTACTGTAGGGGCATCATGTTTCTCCACCATATGCTATTAGACATCTTCGCCTTCTTGAGGCTCTGACTAGGCAATGCAAGAATCCCTTTGAGGTGTGTTAACAGTGAACAGCAGTACACTACTTATGCCTGCACATTAAAATCCATCTGTTGTCTGCTGTAAATGATACATTACATGATTGCGTGTAAATGTCTCGTAGAGCTAAAGTTCAGGTCCTTCCTTCCTGCAGCGGTCAGACTATACAACCAGCACAGTACAACCCCCCCCCACACACACACACAACAACACAACACAACACAGACAATAACACCCCTTGCTGTTAAATACCAACCAACTATGTGTAATATATATATGCCGTTAATAACTGTGTAATATATACCTGGCTGCTAAATCCTAAGAAGTGTTACAGGATGTGTATTTAGAAAATTATGTAATTTTTTATTATATTTTAGTTATTTTATCATAACTTGGTACTTTTTAATGCATGTAACATGTATAACATTAAGCTGTCTGTGGCTATTTTCTCTGCTGTAACTACGTAAATGTCCCCTGTGTGGGACTAATAAAGGTATTCTGATTCTGATTCTGAGTGTGTGTGACAGGCCTCACGTGGGAGGTGAGGGCGAACAGCAGAAAGCATCACAAACACAAACAGATGAAATCCTGTCTGTGCTTCCGCTGGGGGAGATATGCGGTGAGTCGGTGCTTCCTCCCCTCCACACGGTAACCTAACACCTGTTGGCATGCTGATACATTGAGACACATGTTAATGTGCTAATACATACATCTCCCTTGTGTTTTTCTCTTTTGCTGTTCGTGTCTGTTGCCAGGACAATTTGGTCCGCAGCTACAAGTACTCCCCCCTGACCTTCCTGCCCCTGACGCTGTTCGAACAGTTTCAGCGAGCGGCCAATCTCTACTTCCTCCTCATGGTGGTGATGCAGGTCAGACTGCCTCTCTCTCGCTGCCTCTTGTGCTTTCAATCTATAAAATATGTTATTTATTATTGTTATTTTACAGCAGCAGCTTATATTTTATAATATTGTGGGATCAAATGTTTTTTTTTTTATTGTGCAGACAATCCAAAGTTATGAGAATTATGCCAATATGTTTCTTTTATTGTATTGTTTGCAACATTTTAAAATACACAGACCTAACAAATTACAAACAGTGCAGGAAGAGGCAAACATTTTTTATAAAATGTGAACATTATCGTACAGCGGTCGAATGTTTTTTCTGGCGATTGAGGTACATTATTTAGTTGTGTATGAAAGATATTTGTTGCCCCTTAAAACGGATGGAAAATGGAATGTTCCTTAACCTGGGATATACATATCCAGCTATATATGAAATAGTCTAATACAACTGTAGATATGTTTCTTACGGCTCTGCAAATGTATTTGGTTTGCACGTAACATTGGCCTGAATGTGATATCTCAGAAACACCTTAAAGGAATTTCTTCTAGACATCACAGACATCAACTTGCACCCATGGTTAAACTGATGATATTTTAATGGTCAAATTCATTATAATGTCACAAAACATGTTTGTGCCATAGCTCATGAATTCAAATACTATGACATTTTCCAAGATAAATGAAGAAGTGGTCATCTTTACACTTGGATTTAAACTCCAACTTGACTGGTTGGTAGAGTTTACTACCTGGAGGGGGTAATTCCCGTACTGTAATTAAAGGAGGGTAAGAAATTAGCCTCAACTGAAACAGGATGTCATTCTTTTCAAACACTTAACTTAAATTTGCCTCGTGTAGTTTGACAGAAATCCTCTAAATTCAAGGCCTGCTTTTGACTGTTTAGTCTATTGTGTGCGTATGGTTCATGCAGTATATGCGACTCCTTTCCCTTCTGTGTTTTCCCCATGCTTGTGTGTGGTTTCCAGTGTGTCCCTGTCATCTCCTCCATACCTTTCTACATCACCATCTTCCCGCTTCTCATCGTCCTGTCAGTGAGAGGGCTGAAAGACCTTGCCAACGACATGGTAAGACCACCAACCACTCCGTAGTAACCCTTTCTCTCCTGCTGGGTGGAGTCTAAGTAGGGGGAATATCCCCCCCGTGATGAATCCACCCACCCTCACTCACACAAATGCTAGATCTTAAAACGCAAATATACGACCGGCCTCACTCATGCATTTATGCACCCGGCACTTAAGAATGTGCGCACTCTTCCCTCTCCTTCATTGTCCACATTGACTCCTTGTCCTCTCCTCATTGACAAAACCAGTCATCCCAGTAGCATTAATTTTCTCTCCCATCATTAAAGCTTTTCCTTTGAAATGCAGGCGGGATGTTTTGCATGGAGAATTCTCTAGTTAAGTGCATCACTGAGTTACGGTCGTTAACAGCTCTGGGTGAAACGCTTGCTTGACCCCTCTCTATTGACTAATCATTTAGTGGAGGGTGTAAATCTCCCAGCTGGTGTCACTGTAGAGCCCCGTAATGGCGTTTCTCCTTTCTCCTCTCTCCTGTTCAACCTTTCACGGCCACCATCATTCCCTCTCACACGCTCCCTGTCCATCACTCTTTTTCTCCATCTGTGTCTCACTTCTCTATCTATCTCCTTCTCTTCTCTCATTATCTGTTTGGGTCTCACTCTGCCCATCTGATGTCCAGGCGAGGAGGCGCAGCGACTCTGAGATTAACTCCAGACCCTGTGACGTACTCGACTCCCAGAGGTGAGGACAAAGACGATGTGTTATTCTCTCAGGACTTCCAGTTTGAAACGGCCCTCTAATGAAGTGTGAATGAGTGAATCCCTATATGGTCCTGCTGTGCATTAGAGCAGGGCCAGAACATTTTCCACACTTATTGGAAGACATGAACTATGACCAACCTCTTGATGACATCTTCTCCCGTCTTCAGGGATACTGTTGCCTCGGCTTATTGCCTGAGAGTGTTACCCTCCAGACGATGTGTCTTCTCTTGGGGATTCAGACATCACTTAAAACATTTTTGTACACTACCCTTCAAAGTGTGGTTAATGCTTGAGAGCTGCAAAGAAGAGAATATTTAGTTGTTTCTATGGATAATACGTTTACTTGATTGATCTTGAATGTATATTATTTTAATTAAAGGCCTGCACAGACCATGTTTTGTAAAGACTTTACTTACCGATAAAAAGTAAGCGTTTTAAAAAAATAATATAACATACTAATATTTATGGTTTGTCTTGTGTGTCATGTTTTGCATTTTGTTTTTTTGTTTTTGTATGTCTGTAAGTTGTCGCTATTGTCGGGACCCCCTTGAAAACGAGATGGTGCATCTCAAGGGGTTTATCCCAATGAATACACATTTTTTCTATATATATAATAAAATGGCCTCCATTTGGGTTAGGGTGATTTAAAATGTGATAGTGGATTTTGTTTACACTTCTGTCTGTTAATTTGTGTTGTATGTATACATGGTAGCATTGTAGATTTGTGAACAGCAAATTATATAAAATAAAAGAGCTTGTTTTGTTTGTTCCCCATTTGCTCCTTCCTCATCTGTCCTGCCTCAGTTTCAGCAGAGCGCAGTGGAAGGATGTGTGTGTGGGAGATGTGCTGCGGATCCACAAAGACCAAGTCATCCCTGTGAGATTTCTAAATGATGAAACATTAAATTAACAGAAGTATAGAAAAACAAAAATAAATCTAACCTACCCTTTAGGTGGGATCTTTTATAACTTTAAGTGAGAAATGTCGGCATTAGAGCTGCTAAACTTTTAAATGATAAATATCGGTTTCCTCTCTTTCCTCGCAGGCTGACCTTCTCCTCCTGTGTAGCTCCGAACCTCACAGTCTCTGTTATGTAGAGACGGCAGATATCGACGGGTAAGAAACTCTTTCTGCTCTTTTTATTAAGCTTATTCTGTAGAAAATGAAGGCTTTAATTCATCATGTAATGATAACATGCATGTTTTTATGTAGTCACTTTCTTATAAATATACATGTTTTAGTAGTAACATATATAAAAAAAAAAAAAAAAAAATGGATACTAATTTTTGTTACAAGTTTAAAACGGAAGTGCTTTAAGGTTTATTTCAGAGTAAAGACATTTCCACATTTTCATCTATGCGTGTAACTGCATAGTCCCTTAGCTTCTCATCATTATCTCTTGTCCATGATTCAACTATTAAGTGTTAATATACACATTTTATTTTCTTCATTCAGAGAGAGTAATCTCAAGTTCAGACAGGCGCTCAGTGCTACACACAACCAGCTGACCTCCTACCCCTCAGAGGAGACCCTTGCTGCCTTTGATGGTGAATAAATGTTTTCCATTAAAGGAAATCTCATTCAAAACTAGACGAGTAAACTTCTTTAAGACATTACTTGTCTTAAGAAACAGCGCATTCAACTTTGAATTTTCCAGGTGTCGTTCTCTGTGAGGAGCCAAACAATCGCCTGTACACCTTCAGAGGCCAGATGCACTGGCGAGGAGAGAGTCTTCTGCTGGACAACGAGCACATCCTCCTGAGGGGAACCGTCCTACGCAACACAGAGTTCGCCTACGGCTTGACCGTATACACTGGTACTCGAAGCAAAAACGTATTTAGTTTAGGAAAAAAGAATATGAACATATATTTCTGTGCATTGACTCAGTTAACAGAAAGATTGTATTTCCCTTTAGCAAATGGTTAGTAGAAACTGCCCAACTGGTCTGTTGAGTCTAAACTAGGAAGCAGACAGGAGAAAGAGAAACCCTGAGACGTGGCATTATGCCTCATCGAGGTGTTTGATAACAGAGATAACACTATTACACTATGTGCTGTGTCCATGCCACCTATCCTCATTTCCCCTTCTACTGCAGCCTCCACTTGTTTCAATGACAAATTGTAATATGTGGAATGCATTATACTGCTAATTATGGACAGTACTTAACTCTTGCAGCTGTGTCTTAAATGTGGGTCTGTTAACGTCGGGCAGATAACCGGCTGCTTCTGTCTTTTAAGTGATCATTGATCGGATATTACTGGACCATGCAGAGGTGTCATGGATGACCCTTTCAGTTCGGTCGGAGCAGATCAATAGATCAAATTCTTCCAGAGATGGGGCTTATATCATTCATCAGAGACTGTCTATCGGTGTGACCCCAGTTCAGCCTGATTATAACTCTTCACCCTCCTCACACACACTTGACACAGCCTACTTTAAATTATGCGTGATCAAGGTTGAAGTATTGTTGTTGTAGGAAGTTTGTCCCTGAACATCTTTGAAGACATGGCACACACATATGTCATTTTAACTTTCAGCTGTCTGAGAGTTGGAGACAACATCACTGGAAAACATAATGTGATATCATATTTTATTGATCTTTGCAAGGGAAATTCTCTCTCCCCGCTGACCCTCTCCACAGCCGGGTCAGACACCCCCGGAACTGGTAGAAACTCAGCTTCATGCTCAAGGGCACGTCGGAGGATGCTCACTGACACGAGGGCTTGAACTTTCACCCTCTGGCTGCACAGTGGTCTCCGAACTTGCTCGGACCAGCGGCCGGAGCGGTAGCATCTAAGAGTTTCTGCTCCGCACACAGGCGCAGACAGCAAGATCCTGAGGAACTGCGGGAAACTGAGAGTGAAGAGGACTCGGATGGAGAGAGTTTTTAACCAAGTGGTGATCGGGGTGAGTGGGCAAAGGGCATGTGGGGTGACGAGCACGAGATATCTTGTGACTATAAGACACACACACACACACACACACACACACACACACACACACACACACACACACACACACTATTCTAGCCTGTGTTAGAAGTATTCAGATCAGTAGAAGGTGCCTCCTCATTATGCAGAAAGGCCTGATTCATTTTGTTCCATAAGCAGCTAAACTAAAGTTTTTAACAATGATTCCACTTGTTTAAAAACAGACTCTAATATAAGGATTTTGCATTAAAATGTTCGGCACTGTACAAAATGTAATGAACAAAGTTACTCTAACCTATATTTAGTGAAAGACACATACATGCACACAGACTCACTGAGCTCAGTTCAAGTGTAGAAACCATCATTAAATGTATTAAATACACTTTAGGTGCAAAGATTTCACATCATTGCTCAGAATAAGGACACACACAGACACACACATGTGTCCGACAGACTTGCAATCTTCATACACATTCACTAAAATAAGAACACACACAGGACACAGAAAAGAGAAGCTTCTCGGGCATAATCACTTGCTGTGGCAGAGCGCCAGGCAGTCAGATGTGGCCACATGTCGTCATTGATCCACAACGTGTGAACCTCAGAGTATTTGCAGAAAAAACACTGTAACTATGAAATTAAATTAATATGTTTTTAGAATTTGTAAATTGCCAGTAGACACACTATTATTAATACTGTCTATAAAAGTGTCTAATAAGTGTTTACAAGCACAAGAGGCAGCTGCGCTTTCAGTGCATATTGGCAAAAACGCTTTCTTCCTTTGTCACTTCATCAGTCTTTTGTCAAGGTTTGCCACTAGGGGGATGACTTGTTCTAAGAGGAGGACAGAGTCTGAACTGAGTTGTCTGCAGTGCCTGGTTACCTCTGTGGGGGACCTGCAGCTTGTGATTCCAGGACCAGAGAAGTCGGCTCCTCTCCCAGAGTCAGAGGAAGGAGGGGAGATGATCCTCAGGATAGAATCTGGAAAACGAGAGTTGCAACCAAGAGGACAGATATTCATTTTGGCCCTTTTATGTTCTTCTCATCGGCATTATGTATCATCACTATTTATTTACCGTCTACATACCAGACTCTGAGGATTCTGGAGATACTCCCACCAGCAGCCTCTCTCTCCAGAGGACATGGCTGGATGTTGATGAGTCTGTTTCAGGGCTGCTGGCAGTCTGCTGCCCACTGCTGTCAGAGACCACCGACGCTTCATAGTCCTCCTGCAGATCCCAGCGCAGAGAGTGTGAAGGAGCTGGTACACTACTCTCAGGACCTGGGGAAACATCAACAATCCAATCAATCGGTATCACTCTCCATAGCTGGTTAAACGCTGTTGGCACGTGAGGAACCAGGTGTCACTTCCTGCTGTTGAGCTGACCTTTTGATTGGCTGGTGTTGACTGACGTCTCCACTTCTTGAATAGCACTAAGCTCGTGTTGTTCAGTCATCATCTCCATGATGCTCAGCCTGACACGGGTCACAGGGGGCTTTGCTGCTCGAGGAGGAGGGAGGAGTCCTGAGGGGGGGGCAGATGCTGGGGCAGCAGGGGCATCACTCTGAGCCATGAGAGGGTCTTCAAGGTGGGATAAAGTTCCTCCGTTAGTCTCCTCTAAAGCTCTCAGCAGGGAGGCAAGTAACTGGAGACGGGTCTGCCTGATGCTCCCTGAATCCAAAACTCCTCTGGCAGCCTCTGGGAGTGGCTGTGGGCGAGACAAGGCATCAGGACAGTTGTTCTCCCAAAACACGCACACACACATTAAGCTTGAATCAAATGCACTTCAGTTAATTTCACCTCATCACTCAGAAACAAGCACTGTTGTAATTTGTATTTGTGTATAAACTAAATGATTTGTCTGCTGTACTTTTGCAAAAACATAACAGCAGTGATAGTCCCGTCACTTACTTGTTCTTCAGTTTGAATGAGAGCCTGCAACGTCTCCTTTTGCCGCCTCATCTGCTCCATCTCCACTTCCTGTTGTCGCCTCTCCTCCTCCTGCTGCCTCTGCTGAAGGGCCACCCCCTCCCTCTGCTCCAGCAGCCGTCTCTGGACCTCCTGCAGCTCTGCTCTCTGGACCTCCTGCAGCTCTGCTCTCTGGACCTCCTGCAGCTCTCGTCTCTGGACCTCCTGCAGCTCTGCTCTCTGGAACTCCTGCAGCTCTCGTCTCTGGACCTCCTGCAGCTCTTGTCTCTGCCTCTCCATCCTGTCGTCCTCTGTGGAGCTCAGGGACCCGGTCCGTAGCGAACAATGTGGCAGGGTCACAGGCCTAACAGTTTCTGGAACTGGAGCCAGAGGTGCACCAGAGGTGATGATGGAGCTACTGCCTTGGATTGAATCAGAGGTTGGCTGCAGTCTGATGCTGGCTGAGTGACGTGTTGCTCTCACTCTCTCTGTGAGATGCCCTGTGACTCTCTCCATGATGTTGTCTGTCAGCCAGGCAGTGAACTTCTGGTTCCTGGGATTGCTCGAAATATATTCAACTTCATCTGGCACCAACTTGGAGGCAGAGCTCATATTTGAGCTAGGAGGTTGTGAATATGAAGCTAACATGTCCGACTCTCTTGTGGGAACTTCCACAGGGGTTTGTGCTTTGGCGTGGATGTATGCCTGCGAGGCCGGAGGTGTAGGGAGCTGAAGAGGAGCTGGAGGATGCACAGACTGAACACCGTGCGGAGGGGGGGGAAAGAGGCCTGGAGGCACTGCAGCGGGAAGTAAAGATGTGGGGGTCATGTTGTAGCGAATCCGTAGAGCTCGCTGGTATTCCTCTAGGCGCTGACGGGCCACTTCCACTGACCTCTGGTGAAGGCTGAAATAAAGACCGTCAGCTTTATTTATAGAGCCCAATCTCGGTGCATCAAGGAGCTTTAAAATTAGAGCATACAAAACCCTCCAAACTAAATAAAATCCTCTAAAACTTTATAAATATAGGTAAAAGTAGCACTCAAAGGTTTATTTCTTTGTCAACTGATGAGATTTACTTTTAAACCTAATCGCAAGGAAAAGTGGTGAAAGTGACTGGCTAAATGAATAAATGTAGTTTATATTCAGGATTTAAAAACACACCTGTTTTGCTGCAGCAGTCGCTCTTGGTACTCTCTGATCCTTCTGGCGTGCTCATCTTCGCCTGCAGGAGGCACCAGCTGTCAAAGAGTGAAGAAGCAGATATATACATAAATAGCTGAAGTTATTTTTCTGACGCACTTCACATAAGATATCTTAAAGGATAAAACAGATCTGACAGGAATATT